TCTGAGGATCGCGGTTCAAAGCCAACCCGGGCAGGAGAGACCGTGAGACTCCTATCTCCAATAAACCACCAGAAAACCGGAAGTAGCGCTGTAACGCAAGTGGTAGAGCGCTCGCCTTGAGCTGAAGAGCTGATAAGAAATGTACTCATTACCTTGCCCATGTAATTGTAACCCCTCTGTACGGTATTTTCACAATAAAAATAAAATAGTTTTTATAAATATAAGGGGGAAAAAAAGGAGCTTGTGAGACTCCATCTCAAGCAGGCGCTAGGTGTGTGGTGCATGCCTGCTGTGCCAGCTTCTGAGGGAGCAACACGGCTGCACAAGTGGCCTGGGCCTGTCATCCCTTGCACAAATAAGACGACGGCAGCCCAGGCCACCAGGGCATCCATCGAGACCCTGCCTCGAAAATCAGAGGCTGGGGGAGTGCATCGCGTGGGGGAGCGGCTGCCCGGCCGGCAGAGGCTCCGAGTCCAAACCCCAAGAAGCACACGCACGGCAACGGGCTGGCGCGGTCTGGTTCCACAGGCCGGCGGGGAGAAGGCCGTCGCCGAGATGGGCTGGCCCGGGACCCGTGTGGACAGCGGGGTCCGGGGCCCGCGTGGGCCTCGCGCCCGGCCAGGCCCGCGGCTGGCGCCGACCACACGGCCTGGCCACCTCGACTCCCAACCCCGTTCCCCACGGAGTCTGTCTGTCCCCTGGCCTCACGTCCCGGAGCCGCTCACCTGTGTACCCTGGTGGACTGGGGATAGCCACCGAGTCCCGCGCCGCGCCTTTCTTGCTGCGCGCCACCATCTTGCCGCCGACCGGAAGCGCGGGGGCCTCTGGGAGTTGTAGTTCCGCGTTGGGAGCGTCCGCGTTTCCATCCCCACAGCATCGCGTGTGACCCCGCCCTCTGGGCACAGGCCCCGCCCCTCGCCGAAGGCGTCCCAAGGAGGGAAAGAGCTCGGCCTGCCTTCCTCCCTTCCGGTTCCCTCCTCTCCCTCCCACAAGCACGGATTGTGCCACAAGGTCCATCTCCGGCCTACCTGGAGTTTAACAAGACCAGAAACACACAAAGAGGCGAAATAGAAGGAGAAAAGGAAGAGGGAAAGGAGTGTAGCAGCTTTAAATATTGTCAATAAATGGAACTATCCTGCCAAGACCAATGCCCCCCCCCCCTTTAGTGGGGCCACCGTTTTTTCCCTACATAAAGGAAATGAGGAAGGGCAGTACTGTGGTGTTTGGGAAGAAAAGTCTTGTGGGCTGAGGGAATAGCAAGTTCCAAGGCCCTGAGGTAGAAGCTAGCCAAGTGCAGAGAAACAGTAACTATGGTAACTAGCTGAAGAAAGGATGAGAGGAAATGGGGGTCAGAGCTATGGGAAGCTCCTAAACTTACTCTGGGATGGGGCCGCTATGAGATTCCGAGTAGAGGGAAGAGTGAAGTACAAATAGTATCATTTTGGCAACTACACTTTGAGAAGGCAAGGGAAACCAAACTAGACTCACCCCAAAACTAAACTGTGAGCTGTAATAAACCTTTTTGCTTTTTTTTCTTGGTCATGGGGCTTGAACTCTAGGTCTGGGTGCTGTCCCTCAGCTTATCAGTTTAAGGTGAGTGCTCTACCTCTTGAGCCACAGCACCACTTCTAGCTTTTTCTACTTATGTGGTGCTGAGGAATTGAACCTGGAGTCTCATGCAATGTAGGCAAGCACTCTACCACTGAGCCACCTTTGGGCTGGCTCTGAACTGTGACCCTCAGATCTCAGCCTCCTGAGTAGCTACAATTCCAAGCGTGAGCCACCGGCACCCAACCCCTTTTTGCTTTTTTTTTTTTTCGGGTCCAGTCATGGGGCCTGAACTCTGGGCCTGGACGCTGTCCCTCAGCTCTTCAGCTCAAGGCTAGCACTCTATCACTTGAGTCACAGCGCCACTTCCGGTTTTTTTGTTTTTGTTTATATGGTGCTGAGGAATGGAACCCAGGGCCTCAGGCATGCAAGGCAAGCGCTCTACCACTGAGCCGCCTTCCCAGCCCCCCCTTTTTTGCTTCTTAAATGGATTATCTCATGGTTTTGTTAGAGCAATGGCAAGTTTTAACCTCCAAATTTGTATGTTAAGGGTATTTGGAAGTAGGCCTTTGGGACATTTTTTAGTATTAAATGGGATTAGTAGGGTGGAGATACCACGTAGTTTTATAAGAAGAGACCTTCCTGCGGGTGCTGGTGGCTCACACCTGGATTCCTAGCTACTCAGGAGGCTGAGATCTGAGGATCACGGATCAGCCAGCCTGGGCAGAAAAGTCCCTGACTCTTATCTCCAATTAACCACTCAAAAACCACAAGTAATGCTGTGGTTCAGGTGGTAGAAGCCTTGGGCAGAAAGAGGCTCAGGGACAGCGCCCAGGCCCTGAGTTGAAGCCCCACACCAACCAAAAAAAAGATGATAAAAAGAGACCTTCCTCATCCTCCCAATCTGCATGTTGCTCTCTGTGAACACTGGGTAAATGCCACCGCATGGCAACAACAGGAAGGCAGGTCCTCCTCACCAGGCCACACTGGTGCCTGGACATTTGCCTTCCCAGTTTTTAGAACTGAAATCCCTGTTGTCTGTAGACTGTCTGGTCTGTTGCTATTCAGTCCCAACCCCACCCCCAACATGATCTAAGAAAACCATGGTTCTAGCCATCGCTGCACGGCTCTGCCGACCGTTGGAGCCTGGCTGCCTCTTTGGCAGTCACCGCCACCAAACCTCTGAGGCTCAGCATCCCACCATGTCCGCCGCTCCTGATCATTTCAATCCTGGTGTCTGAGCACAGCCTGGCTGAGCTCCCTCACTGGGCACTGGATGATACATTCATCATGCTAGAGTAAAGGCGGCCTCCGGTGGGAACATACTCGCTGGCTTCTCTGCCTTCCATAATCCCACTGTGCAGCACATCCACCTGCCTGAGTTCTGGCACCTTCTCAGTATCTGACTAAGATCACTTTATTACAGCTTCTCATGCAGTAAGGAGGGCCATTGTCTCCCACGCTTCAAAGGAGCTATCCCGTGGGATATCAGGGCTGGCTCCCAGTGTCCTTGCCAAAAATGTCACATTGATACAGAATTGTCCTCTGATGTTCCTCCCAGCGGGCAGAGACTGTTCATTCAGCCCTTTTGGCTCTACAGCCAGCAGAGACGGCTAGGCTTGCAGCCTTCTAGCAGGAAACATCCATTCGGTGGTGTAACTCTGCTGCCAGAGCCCCCGTGTTTGCCTACAGATTTTTTAACCCTGGGGTGTACTCTGCCACTCCTATGAAAATGAGGTGCAGGGAAACCAGAGACCTGCTCAGCCACTGTACCCCACCCCCACTAAAATTATGAGGAACTCTGAAGGATGGAGATGGGACTTCCTAATCTCTACATAGTTCTGGGATCTGTGAAACAGTTCGCATTTCCCAGAGTCTGGTCTCCTGCGCCAGCAATGCTTCCTTCTACCGCAGGACGCTCTTGGGGGCGAAGCCCTAACTAATCTACCAGCTTTAACCTGTTTTTTGGCCAGTCCTAGGGCTTGAACTCAGGGCCGGGCACTGTCCCTGAGCTTCTTTTGCTCAAGGCTAGCACTCTACCACTTCAGCCACAGCGCCACTTCCGGCTTTTTTATGTGATACTGAGGAATCAAACCCAGGGCTTCATGCATGTGAGGCAAGCACTCTCCCACTAAGCCACATTCCCAGCCTTAACCTTTTAATTAAATCTACCCTTTCAACACCCCAAGTCAGGGGGAGCTGTTTGGGTCTACATCTCCTGGATATGTCACTTTTTCCACAAAGCGGGAGTGGCTGGCTCTGCAGGGTCTAGCTGTCAGCTGGCTTGCTTTGAGCCACAGAAGTGATTCGCTGGGATTTTCAGGCCCAAGACTTAAGAAGCTTACAGCTTCTGCTCTCTTGGATTGCACATAAAGCTTGTTGACCCAGACTTCCAAGTGACAAGGGAGGCTGCAGGTGGCAGCTGCATGACTTAAGCTGTGATTGCTGTTCTAGCCCCAGGTGAACTGACAGAATGTAGCTGACCCTCACTGCCACTGCGTGGAAGGGGAGAAACCTCCTGTGGGGGCTTAATCTCCAAGAAGCCCCAGCGAAATCACACTACAGGAAGAAAACAAACTTTTTTAGGTCTTTCTAGCAAAATGTATGGGTACAAAATAAAAATGACATTCTGTTGAGTTTCGTCCTTATCACTAAGCTTGGAAGATCATAAAAGCATACTTGTAGGTCTCAATTGGAGGTTTGGGTCCATGAATGACAGGTAAGTGTTAGTCGGAAGACTACTTCATCTTTCAAAGCCGTTACTAGAGCTAGGGGTGTGGCTCAAATAGTAGAATGTGTTTAGCAAGCAGGAGGCAAGCTCTAACTCCAGTACCGACAAAAAAAAAAACAGATCTGTTTCTTTCTCAATGTAGATTAGGATACAAGAGGCACTTCCTGAGATCACTGAGAGACCAGCCAGTGCTATGGCTAACATGAAAAATTAAACATAAAGATTTAAACCAAGGAAAGTGTATATTTACTACTAGATAAAACAAAATGTACAATACTCAAATAACCTTGAACTGGTTTAACCCATGCACCGTTATTATTAGAGGAAAGTTAAAAAGAGTGAATACCTAGGCACTCGTGGCTCACACCTGTAATCTAGCTATATGCAGCTGCAGGTAGGAAGACTGTATTAAAAGATATAGGGACTGGGCTCACGCCTGTAATCCTAGCTGCTCAGGAGGCTGAGATCTGAGGATCACGGTTCAAAGCCAGCCCAGGTAGGAAAGTCTGTGAGGCTCTTATCTCTAATAAATCACTCGAAAACCAGAAGTGGCACTGTGGCTCAAGCAGTAGAGCACTAGCCGTGAGCTGAAGAGCACAAGGACAGCGCCCAAGCCCAGAGTTCAAACCCCACGACCAACCAAAAAATAAAAAGGTATAGGGACAAGTGCTTTCAATCCCTGCTTTATTTTTTGAGGTAAGCTCAGACGTGAGCTAACTCTGCCTCCAGATTGTTCCTTTTTTGGGGGGGAGGAGGGAGGTGGGAGGAGGGATGGAGAAACTCAGGGCCTGGGCTCTGTTGGTCTGAACTTCTCTGTGCTCGACTAGTATTTGAGCTACAGCATCACTTCTGACTTTTTTCTGAGTAGTTTATTGCTGTTCTACCACTTGAGTCACAGCATCACTTGCAGCTTTTTCTGCTTATGTGGTGCTGAGGAATGGAACCCAGGGCCTCAGGCATGCAAGGCAAGCGCTCTACCACTGAGCCACCTTCCCAGCCCTACTTTTTGTCAGTCGTGGGGTACTGTCCCTGAGCTCTTTAGCTCAAGGCGAGTGCTCTACCACTTGAGCTACAGTGCCACTTCCAGTTTTCTGGTGGTTTATTGGAGAGAAAGAGCCTCATAGACTTTCCTGCCTGGGCTGGCTTTGAACCAGTCTTCAGATGTCAGCCTCCTGAGTAGCTAGGATTACAGGTGTGAGCCACCAGCACCCAGCTTCTTTTATTTTTGGGTCCGGTTCTGGGGCCTGAACTCTGAGCCTAGGCACTGTCCCTCAGCTCTTCAGCTCAAGGCTAGCACTCTACCACTTGAGCCACAGCGCCACTTCCAGCTTTTTTCTTTTTGCTTATGTGGTGCTGAGGAGTCGAACTCAGGGCCTCAGGCATGCAAGGGAAGTGCTCTGCCACTGAGCCAACTTCCCAGCCCCCAGCTTCTACTTTTAATAAGCCAGCCTGGGCAGCAAAGTCCATGAAACTTTTTTTTCTTTTTTGGTAGGTCATGGGGCTTGAACTTTGGGCCTGGGCGCTGTCCCTCAGCTCTTCAGCTCAAGGCTAGCGCTCTACCACTTGAGCCACAGTGCCACTTCCGGCTTTTTAAATTTTTGCTTATGTGGTGCTGAGGAATGGAACCCAGGGCCTCATGCATGCAAGGCAAACACTACCACTGAGCCACCTTCCCAGCCTCAATAACTGATTTTTCTAATGTCATATTTCATGTAAGGGATAAATTACACTCATGAGTACAGTTTCTTCAGACCAAGGCCCTAAGCTGTGTTGGAGAAGAGTGCTTTGCACTGTGAGGCACAAGAGCCTGGGCAGGTGCTGGAGGCCAGGCCAGGCCAGCATTTCCCGCCCAGATGTGTGCTCACAGCCTCTCAGGAGCAAATGGCTGCTTTCTGGTGCCAGGTCCCACTAAAGCCATGAGCACAATCTTCAAAGGAAGTACAGCTCGGAAGTAGGAATAACAAACATTTATTCAGAAATGGAAAGTGATACAGACAAGGCCGTATCTTAATGCCTTTTCCTCTCCTCAACATGAGACACAGTGGGGGAGTGGGGGAGGAGGGCACAGCACTGCCCACTACCCTCTCCTGTTCCCCAAGAAGACAGTTTATGGAGCAGGGGAAACCAAGTCCCTACAGGGCCAGGGGCTGCAGAGCGCACACCTGGCTTGGGAAAGGAGGGGAGGGAGGGAAGAGCCATGTGGGCAGGTCACCTGACACCTCTACTCTCAACTGGGTCCAACAAGTGAGGTCCTAGTGCTTTCTGGGGGGGCCTCCTGGCCCAGAAGGGGCCAGTATAGAAAGAAGGAATGTCTTTCAGCTGCTAGAAAGGAACGTTTGAACCAGAGGGGGAGAGAAGCGCAGCACCTCAGAGCTGTGAAACTATAGCTGGGCTCAAGCTCCTGATCTTTCCTGCTTGGTCTATCAATTACTCGCCTCAGGGAAGTTGAGGCGCCTCAGCCCACTTGGCTTCCTGGGCTGCAGAAGTGATGTAGCGTCCCTCCAGCCCTGCCCCCAGCCTGCGTGGCTCTGGCCGTGCACTGTGCACACCCCACAATGCAGCAGGGCTCTGCGGAAGGGCACCAGGAACAATTCCTCCTGCCATTTGGAGAGCATGCCTGTGTCCTATAGCTCTGCCCCAGCTGCCTGGGAGGAAGCTGTAGGGAAACACTCATTTGCCTGTCAGAGCTATGCTCTGCAAGACACTCCCTTATCCATCCCCATGGCCAAGGCAGAAAAAACACATGCTTCTGGCATCCCTGGCGGTGTTTGTAGATGACCAAGGCCAGAAAGAGCCAGAAGCAAGACAACATCTCCTATCCAATCAACAACAGGCCCGGTGCTGCAAGAGCGGGATGACAGCCTGCAAAAGCCCAACCAGAAGCAGGCGGGCGCCTGCACCAAAGCTAGCCTGTGATGACCTCCATGGCAGGTGAGGGCCAAGAGGGCCCAGCAGTGATCCTCACAAGGCGCGGGAGACCAGACTGGGCATTCGGCACAGCTTGAGGAACACGGAAAATATGGCTCTGGGATTTCACGCCGGGATGCCTGAGCTGGTGGTGCACAGCTCTGTGCAGAGCCACAGCCCATCCTGCTCTTGCCAAAGGCCCTCTGCAGACCAATGAGAGGCCTGGAAACTGATCCCTGCTCCTCCACTGGCCAGGTGGATGGGCTTTCAAGGTGAGACCGTGCCCACCAGCACTGCAGGACCCCTCTGCAGTGTTTGAAGAACTTAGAAGGGAAGGCAACCTCCCCAAACAGTGCCGCCCTGCATGGAAGGAAGCTTCCCATTGGCCACAGGAATGCCACCCAGAGAATTCAGCGCACCATTTCTAGAGGAAAAAATCAGCTTGGGCAGAGGGGAGGGGAGGCTCCCGCTGACACACACAGGCCTACGTTGGTGAAGAGGTGGAGGGGAGAAGAAATGAACTACAAGAAACGTTAATGTACAGAAGCGCACAGGGTAGAAGAACACAGAAAGGCAGGCCCCGTCCAGTGAGGAAGCCCTCCCCATGTTCAGAGCTTCAGTCCAAGGGCCCATTGGTCACGAGCTTTGCCTTGGCAGACAGAGCCACCCTTGTGTTTCTGCCCTGCTCAAAGTTTGATTTTGAATTCTGTGGGCTGCGTGGTCACCGAGGCCCCCGAGGACTTGAAGAGCGCCTTCAGGATGGTGTCAGGGTCCACCTCAGCGGCAGGGGCGGAGGAGGAGGCCGGAGCCATCCTCCGGGGCAGCTCGCTCTCCTTTTTCACTGCGGGGCTGTCACTCAGCCGCCTGTGGGGAACAAAGACAAGTTCCAGTTGGCCGTTGTCAGGGAGTCGCCCTGATATGGGGAGAGGAGCACTGTGCATGCTTCCCACAGCTCTCACATCAACTACTGAGAAGACAGGCAAGGGCTGCTGCAGGCAAACCCTGCATGCCTTTCTGGTTATTAGCACACATCAGGACACTAGCATGACCTAAAGCAATGGTTGATTTAAGTCTAACCAGGTTACAAAGCAGAATGCGAAAGCCAGGTGCCAGTGACTCATGCCTGTAATCCTAGCTACTCAGGAGGCTGAAATTTGAGGATGACAGTTCAAAGCCAGCCTGGGCAGCAAAGTCCATGAAACTTTTTTTTCTTTTTTGGTAGGTCATGGGGCTTGAACTTTGGGCCTGGGCGCTGTCCCTCAGCTCTTTAGCTCAAGGCTAGCACTCTACCATTTGAGCCACAGCACCACTTCCAACTTTTTCTGCAAATGTGGTGCTGAGGAATCAAACCCAGGGCCTCATGCGTGCAAGGCAAGCACTTTACCACTGAGCCACCTTCCCAGCCCTAGGCCATGAAACTCTCATCTCCAATAAACCACCAGAAAACCGGAAGTGGTGCTGTGGCGCAAGTGGTAGAGAGCTAGCCTTGAGTTGAAGAACTGAGGGACAGCGCCCAGGCCCAGAGTTCAAGCCCCATGACCACCCCCCCAAAAAAAAACAAACCCCAAAACATTAAAAAACATTTTTACAACGTATCTTACATAGTGGTGCAGATAAATCATCCCTAAGAATAAAGAGACCAGGAAGAGCGAACGAACCCCCCCCCCGACCCCTGCCGCAGGACCCCTGTGCTAGGACTTACAGCAGGATGGGCTGCTCAGAGGTGATGACATTGCCGTTCATGTGAAGGTTGCACTTCATTGGTTGCCCTGAAAGCAGAGGGGAGAAAAGGCTCTATGGGAACTCCATTCCCCACACAAGGACAGAGCCACCACCTTCACAACCGAGGGTCAAAGCCTGCCACTTCAGCTGAGCCTCGTGGTACCTGTCTGTGAACCAAGGACTTTGGTGGCTGAGGCAGGGGACTGAGTGCAAGGCCAGCTTGCCTGCCGCGGGCAGGTCTGCTCCTGGTATGAGCCCTCCTCCCAGTTTCAGGAGCTACCTGCTCTGCTATAGACGGTGCTCTGGGTCTGGGCCACCATGGAAACAAGTGTGCCTCAATTGTTTTTCAGGAACTTGGAGGAATCTCAAGCCAGGTGAAACAAAAGCCTTCTCCTGAGCCTGAAAGTGTCTGAAGGATGACTCTGTGACGTCACCAGACCCAAGCTTCCTATGGAGAGCCCTGATGCTTTATCGCCCAGACCAGACACCAGCTATTTCACTTTGCCCCAGATCTCAGCCATGAGAGGCCAATGTTCTGCCACTGAGTTACACCCCACTCCTCCCCCCCATTCCTTTGTGCATTAATGCTCCTAAACCCTATCCCTCAGGAGGGCAGCTCTTACACTGGCTCTCCCATCTCCATGAGTGGCTCATCCCCTTTGCAAAATGTGTCACCTTAGTGAGTAGTGTATTATGAGATGAGCAGAGCTGGTTCAATAACTAGTCCTCACCTAGCCAAAGAGATGCCAGTGCTACAGCCCTGAACCAAAATACCCAGCTCCTAGGGTTTCGTTATAGCAGCAGAAAATGAATAATGCAAGTATTAAGCTTCCTGTCAGTGGAGGAGAAAAGAGCTGAAGATCTGGATAAGAACACATGGGGTCACTGGCAAAGAGGAAAGTCAGAGGGCTGGGCAGGTGGCTCAGTGGTACAGCGCTTGCCTTGCATGCCTGAGGCCCTGGGTTCGATTCCTCAGCACCACATAAGCTAAAAGAAAAAAGCCGGAAGTGGCGTTGTGGCTCAAGTGGTAGAGCACTAGCCTTGAGCTGAAGAGCTGAAGGACAGCGCTCAGGTCCAGAGTTCAGGCCCCACGACCGGACCCAAAAAAAAAATTAAAAAATAAAAAAAAAGCTAGCTGCAGTCCACTTCAAAAATAGTCATCAAAAGGTGAAGCTAGAGACATGCTCAAGTGGTAGCCAGCTAGCAGAGCAAGAAATCAAAGCTTGGAGTTCAAACCACAGTACTGCCAAGAAGAGAGGAGGGGGGAGGGGAGGAGAAGGAAGAAGGAAGGAAGGAGGAGGAAGGAGAGAGGGAGGAGGGAGGAAGAGGAGTCTTTATCTTGCCTGTGCTCTAAGTGAAATAACAAAGCTTGGATGACAGCAAATGGTTTTGAATATTTTAGACTCTCTATTGGGATCTAAGTACCAAAGAAAAGAAAATTCTTGGTGGGGGGTGGGGGTGGGGGGGAGGATGGGAAGGGGAAACAAAGGAGGAGGCTACAATGCTTGATAAGAAATGTACTCCTTATCTTGCCCATGTAATTGTAACCCCTCTGTACAGTATGTTCACACACAAAAAAAAAATCTCAAAAAGAAAAGAAAAGAAAATTCTTACAAAATATTACTGCTCATTAACAATGCCACTTGGCTGGAGATATACAATGAGATCCTCTTATGCCTTCTAATTCAACAGGCCTTCTGCAGAATCAAGAGGCCATTCTGACTTCCAATTCTTTTTTGTAAGACTGTTGCTACACCGTAACAGTGACTCTTCTGATGGAGCTGGGCAACTGAAACGGGAAAGCTGGCGAGAGCCCATTGTTCTAGACGCCATTAAGAACATTCCTTTTTGGCTGGGGGTGTGTGCAGTCCAGCAACAGAGTATCCAGCATGCTCATAGCCTTGGGGCTCCACCCACCCACTATGCCCCTAGTTGTATTCATGTTAGCAGAAGTTTGGAGGACATAACTGCAGATGAGAACTAGAATTAGGAGATGGCTGACTGCTGCAATCCCATACCAGGATTTCAATGGCTCCTCATGGAGTCTGCTCTAGAGATGGTGTGATGAATACTGTGGAGGTGCCCTCTGGAGACTGCAAGCACTTCCTCGGTAACACAGAGGACTGGCTCAAGGGACTGAGACCTGGGTCTCGTTCATTGCTCAGCAAGCACGTTTCCTATCCCTCAGCCTGTCAATTTTTGTTTATTGTTTGAGACACTGTCTTGCTATATAGCCTGGGTTGGCCTGCAATTGGCACTCTTCCTTCAACCTCCTGAGGGCTGGGATTATAGGTAAGAACCACTATGCTTGGTCTCTGATGCCAATTTTGAAAGACATTTGCTGTGGTACATGTTATCATTCAGCACAGCACATTCCAGGGCAATTATTCATGAAAGGCAGAGGCCATCAGTGTGGGGGACTGGCCACAGCTGACCTCAACCACCAGCTCCCCATCAGTCAGCAGCCAAGCCTGAGGCAAGCCCTTCGCGAGCAAAAGATGATGACTTGCTTCAGACTCAGATATCGGATGGCTGGTATTTTTCAGTAACAAAAGTGTTTCTAAGTGAACATATATTTGTTGACCTTCTCAGCCCCAAATATACACTTATTTTCAAAGATACAAGAAAAAGGGTGGGAAATAAAAGAACAGACAGAGGCTGGGAAGGTGGCTCAGTGGTAGAACACTTGCCTTGCATGCCTGAGGCCCTGGGTTCGATTTCTCAGCACCACATAAGCAAAAAGAAAAAAGCAGGAAGTGGCGCTGTGGCTCAAGTGGTAGGGCGCTAGCCTTGAGCTGAAGAGCTGAGGGACAGCGCCCAGGCCCAGAGTTCAGGCCCCATGACTGGACACCCCCCCCCCAAAAAAAAAAAAAAAGATTCTCATAGACTTTCAGGCCCAGCTTGACTTTGTTTTTTGTTTTGCTGGTCATGGGGCCTGAACTCTGGGCCTTAGCTCTCCAGCGCTCTAACACATGAGCCACAACACCACTTATGGCTTTTTCTGCTTATGTGGTGCTGAGGAATCGAACCCATGGCTTCATGCATGCTAGGCAAGCACTCTACCACTGAGCCACCTTCCCAGCCCCGCAGCTTGACTTTGAACCGTGATCTTCACATCTCAGACTACTGAGTAGTGGCATGACAGTACCTCATTTCTTTATAGACTTGCAGCTCTGTTTAGCAAGAAGCTACAGTTGCACACTGTAAGAATGCACATCTCTGACTGACCCTGGTGTCCAGGAGCCCCCAGAGGGACTGTTCAGGATGCCTTTCCACTTCTCTCACAGGAAAGCCTGCTCCAGAAGGCCTGCTTGCCTCAACAAGCAGACGGTGAGCCAGGAGTACAGTGATTGCTTTCTTCCCAACTTACCATCCAGACACCGGTTGTTGTATTTTTTATATGCTGTAATGGCGTCGTCCTTCTTCACAAAAACCACCTCTGCCACCCCAGGATGGACCAGTCTAGCTCGCTTAAGTGCTCCGCACACACAGAAAAGCTCCTGTGAAGAACAAGAGGGGGTTGGGGTTGGAGAGAATTCCGGACTACTTTCTATATGTACATACACTCAGAGTATCACAGTAGTTGTACCACAGGTATGCTGTGATCAAGGTTTCTTTTTGGTGTGTGCATGCGCACACACACGAGCTTGTGCATACATACCAATGCATCCTTGAACTCAGGGTCTGGGAGCTGTCCTTGAGCTTTTTTTCTCAAGGCTAGGGCTCTATCACCATTTGAGCTCCACTTCTGGCCTTTTACTAATTAGAGATTAGGAGTCTCATGGACTTTCCTGCCTAGGTTGGAAATCAAGATCTTCAGATTTCAGCCCTCTGAGCAGCTAGGATACAGGTGTGAGCCACCAGTGCCTGGAAAGGCTCGTCTGGGATCAGAGGAGACAAGCTAACAGTAACGAGGAGGACTGGGCTTACATACCTTCCTGTATCTGTGACCTTCCACAAATTTACTAGAAAGTTCTCAGTGACCACCTTGACAAGGGCAGCCATTTTAGACTTCCTCTGAGAGCTGTTGTGAGGAGGAGTGTAGGCTCACCAAAGAGTTGCTCAACTGTCACTTGGAAATCTGTTGCCAATAGTTCTGGGCGGGCTGCTAGAGGAGCTCCCCAGGACAGTGCTAACCTAGTGCCTAGCTCAGCAGAGGCAGGTAGCCAGTCGCCAAGTCAAAGACAAGCCCAGGCTAGGTCACTGGGACTTGGCATTTATCAGCCAGGAAGATATGCTTTGTACACGAGTCATCATCAACTCCATCCTCCTCCTCGTTCCACTGGCAAGAGGTCTGAGGCCAGAGAAGAAACAGCAGGTAGGGACCAGACCAGAGGCCATCAGCACTGCCATTTCTCCATCTGTACCTGCCTTAAACTCATTGTGAGGGCAAAGAGAAGGCTTATGAAAAGGTCTGTAGGGTTAGTTTATGTTCTTTTAATTTTTGCTTGGTGCTGATGGCTCACATCCACAATCCTAGCTACTCAGGGGGCTGAAATCTAAAGACTGTGGTTCAAAGCCTGTTGGGGAAGAAAAGCTGTGAGACATTTAGTAATGATTACTAATGCCAGAAGTGGAGCTATGGCCCAAGTGGCAGAGTACCAGCCTTGAGCAAAAAAGCGCAGGGGACAGCTCCCAGGTTCTGAGTTTAAGCTCCAGTACCAGAATCATAAATAAATAAATGAATAAATACATAAAGTTATACAGAGCTAGGAATTAAACTCAGGGTTGTGATTTGCTAGATAAACATCATTCCACTTCAGCCACGCTTAATATCCTAGTGATGTTTTTGTGGTTAATTTTTTATTTTATTGTGAAGATGCTATACACAGGGGTTAGAGTTACATGAATAAGGTAATGAGTACATTTCTTGTCGAGTATTGTTACTCCCTCCTTTGTTGTTCTCCCACTATCCCTTTCTCCCCCTACCCCCATATTGATGGTTAATGCTGACTACGAACCTGACTGGGTGAGAGACAGTTAGAACAGTGCGGCACAGTTGTGCCGGTCTCTCATGTACCGCTAGGAGGCTCTGCCTCACGTAGGCCCACAGCCATGGGCCAAAAGACCATGGACTGAACCTCTGACCCATAAGCTAAAGTAAGACTTTCCTCCCTTCAGTTGTTTATGGCAGGCACTGTGTGTCACCATGATGAAAGGCTGACAAAATGATAAAACACAGAATCAACATGGAAATTCCAGAGGACTCGCAGAAAAATCCCCAACAGTGGATGTGACACTGTGGTACAGGATGGACTTAGGCTTCACTAGGACACAGCCCAGGCCCCAGAGGCAGGCCAGGCAAGTGGCTTGAGGGCAGAGCTTGGGCAGATGGCAGCCTTCATAGACCACCTCCCTCTGACCCGCATGAACCAGCCAAGCCTGCCCAGGATTTCTGGAGGACTCTGCTGCCCTAATGGACACAGTAGCCAAACAAGATGGCTTCTGCTAAATTCTTGCTGAAGCTTGGACCATGCCAGGCAGACAATGCCTAAGTGACTAATTCCTAGGCCTCCCTGGTCCTCCATCACAAGCTGTGTGACGCAGATAGGAGGGCTGTACAAGTTTGCACTTGGTTTCCCCTAGACTGTACCCCAAGCACTCGTTTCCCTTGGCAATTAGCTGAACCGTGATGATACAGTCTTATGAGTTCCAGCAAAGCAGTGAGCTGGGGAGTCTGGGCCACAGAAGTAGTTTGAGAAGGAAAACTCTGGTAAGTCCTAGTACTTACAACAATGTCCTCTTCAGTGACTCGGGGGTGCAGATTATTCACAGTCATCTTGGTACCTTCCAAAGGGCTGAGAACAGTCTACCACACAGACAAGAGTGTTACCGGGAGTCCAAAGGCAGGTGTGCAACCACCACACAGCAGCACTCTCTCTACATATGCAACCAGACGGCCCCAAGGAAACCCATACAGAGCCAACACAACGGGGCCCTTAGGGTCCTAGTGCCCATTCGTACCTCATGACCATGTGTTTAAAGGAGCAGGCTCCCATTTCCCAAATATGCCTGGAATGCTCCTGTATCTAGACTCCACCAGCTCAAAGTGCTCCCAGATTCCCACAGGCTTGAGCTGCTCTTCCTCCTGGCTCCCAGAAGCTCTCCTCTGGGAAGCCCTCTGCTCATTACACATGGTGATTTCTCTGCAGGGCTGGCTCCGCCTACCTATATTACCCACGGGGGTGGGGTAGGGTGGTAATATAACATTCTGCTTACCCAACACATGCTGATCACCTTACCTCAGCAGATGGCAGCTCTTTGGGGGCCTCCTCCTTGTTCACCAGTGTCCGGGACATGTTGGTCAAGGCCTTTGTTCGAATAGAGGGGAGAGCAGGAGCAGTGTACGCATCATTCTGAACTACTTTGGTGAGAGGGAGGGCCTTGGACATGGAGAGCTTGGAACTGCTCAGCCCAGCCTACAGAAAAGGACAAAAGAAAAGGCTGAGAGCTGGTGACCATTAAGCTCAAGCACACAGATACCACTGTGCACGGTATTGAAAGCTCATCAGGAAGCTTCTATGCAGCTTTCTGCAACTCAACAAGGCCACACCATTCCAACATTTGCAACTGGTCAGAAGGTCAAAAGCGGGAGGTCAGCCAGGCACTGGTGGCTCACACCTGTAATACTAGCTATTCAGGAGGCTGAGATGTGAGGATCATGGTTTAAAGCCAGCCTGGATAAGAAAGCCTGTGAGACTCTTATCTCCAATTAACTATAAGAAAACTAGAAGTGGGGCTGGGAAGGTGGCTCAGTGGTAGAGCGCTTGCCTTGCATGCTCAAGGCCCTGGGTTCGATTCTGCAGCACCACATAAGCAAAAAGAAAAAAGCTGGAAGTGGCGCTGTGGCTCAAGTGGTAGAGCGCTAGCCTTGAGCTGAAGAGCTGAGGGACAGCGCCCAGGCCCAGAGTTCAGGCCCCACGACCGGACCCCCCCCCAAAAAAAAAAAAAAGAAAACTAGAAGTGGCGCTGTGGCTCAAAGCAGTAGGTAGAGCACTAATCTTCAGCAAAAGAGTTCAGGGACAGTGTCCAGGCCTGGAGTTCAGGCTCCACAACTGACAATAAGTAAAAAATAAAGAACAGGAGGTAAAGCTTAGTCCTAACCAAGCTTCTCTGACAGCTTCCTGTGGCCAAGCAGAGGCACATGTGTAACCCCAGCCTCCTCAGCTGCCCGACTGTTAGGTGGTAGGTACTACTGCTGCTTTGGGACAGTTTGTAACTAACACTGATCCTGCAAGGAAGAAGGAATGAGGCAGTCAGAGAAGCCGGGCCGGGGGCCGGGCGCCGGGGGTTGGGGGCCGGGGCAGGTCACCAGGGTAGGGGAAGCATTCTCCATGTTGGAGGTCAAGCCACTCCATGTCTCCCGAGCCAGTACAATATAGTAGTTATACATGTGGCCCTGGAAGCGCAACAACGAGATATACTAGTTAGAAGCAGAGTTATGTTACTTCTCTACCTGTTTCCTCATCCATGGAACAGTGTTTTTTTCAATGAAAGTTAACTACATAATTGACAGTTCCCTTGGTGGCAGATTCAACAGGTCTACTTACGAGACCAATTCAGTCCTATTGTGAAGAAACAAAGTGGGCCAGGCACCAGTGGCTCTCACCTGTAATCCTAGCTACTCAGGAGGCTGAGATCTGAGGATCATGGTTCAAAGCCAGCCCCAGGAAGGAAAGTCTATGAGATTCTTATCTCCAATTAACCACCAGAAAACCAGAAGTGCTGCTGTGGCTCAAGTGGTAGAGCGTTAGCCTTGAGCTGAAGAGCTCAGGGACAGCGCCCAGGCCCAGAGTTCAAGCCCCATAACTGACAAAAAAAAAAAAAAGAAACAAAGTGGTCTGCTTCATATATCACTTAAAAGAGTTGCGAGAGTGGCCTGCATACTCAGGTGGTGACCCGAGTGGAGTCTCTGGGCTCTTAAGGAGGTGCTCACCAGCGGGAGCTGGCAAGCAGTCCACAGCCTCCCTGTGTCACATGCCTGTGCCCACTCCTCCTGCAGCACATCTGACAACACCTGGCCCCAGGCTCTCCTAGACACAGCCCCCATGTGTTGGGGCCCATGGGTCTTGCTAGCAACCCAGGGAATCCAGCAGCCCAGAGACCAGAGCAAATTGTTTTTTCACAGGAAAAAAAAACAGGGACTGGAGGTGTGGCTCAAATGCTAGAATATCAACTGAGTAAGGAGTTTTGGGGTAGTAACAAAGAAAAAATACCTGGAATTCCTCCTGAGGGATTATTCACTGCTAGGTTTTTAACTTCAAAACTCATGTTAAAACTTAATTTCCGAGCCGGGCGCTGGTGGCTCACGCCTGTAATCCTAGCTACTCAGGAGGCTGAGATCTGAGGATCGCGGTTCAAAGCCACTCCAGGCAGGAGAGACCGTGAGACTCCTATCTCCAATAAAACCACCAGAAAACCAGAAGTGGCACTGTAGCTCAAGTGGTAGAGTGTTCGCCTTGAGCTGAAGAGCTGAGGGACAGCGCCCAGGCCCAGAGTTCAAGCCCCACGGCTGACAAAAAAAAACAAAAGCTTAATTTCCGTAATAATATATTAAGATGGAGGACCTTTATAAACATTTGCTCAGCAGGTTGCTCCCTCCATAAATGGACTAAGATCATTCTCACAGGACTGGGTTACCTCAGCAGTGGTCCCCTGAAGGAGCGATGCCTCCCATCTTGTGCACGCTCATGCTGCCTTGTCCTTTTACCATGAAGGCTCATGGACAAAGCCCTTTTGCCAGAAGCAGCCCTCTGACTTCCCAGCCTCCAGGTACCATGAGCTGAGGAACTTCTATTGCTTAAAACTTACTCAGTCTTCACCGCTCTGCTACAACAAAAAATGTGCTAGGACACTCACACATTTCCCCCAAGTGCCTCAAGCACAGCACTGGGAACTTTGGCTCTGAACTTCACTCTTTATGGGGTCTTTGCTAATCCCTGGACACCCAAGTTTCAGTATTTACAAAACCAAGGGGTTGGCTATTGCCTTGGTGTTTCCTCAATCAGCAAAGGTGGCAAGACAAGCCTATTTAGACACACATGTGAAGGAAGAAGAGCCAGAGGGGTTAAGACAGCTGGTGCCCCCTGTGAGGAACACAAAGACCTTATGTTTTGGTCAGTTGTAGGGCTCGAATTCTGGGCCACGGGCGCTGCCCTGAGCTCTTCAACTCAAGGCTAGTGCTCTAACACTTGGAGCCACAGCACCACTTCTGGTTTTTTGGTGGTTAACTGGAGATGAGAGTCTCAAGGACTTTCCTGCCTGGGCTGGCTTGAAATGTGATCCTGAGATCTCAGCCTCCTGAGTAGCTAGGATTACAGCATGCACCACCACTGCCTGGCTTCTCTAGCTGCTATTTTGTTCACATTTTAGTCTAAATAGGCAACAGTTGGCTGATTCCAGCTCTGAAGATCTCAGAGCCTGAATCACTAACAGGGCTTATTCTGCACAACCCTTCCATCCAGCTCATGAGACACACCCAGTGAGGTAAGAGAAGGGAAAACACCATACCGTCTGGTGAAGAAAGCCTCCTGAGGCTGAAAACTTCATCTGTTTAGCAGGAATGGGTGCTAAAACATCATCCTCTTCATCTAGGTCATATAAATTCTGCAAATAAACAAACAGAAGCTGGGATGGCGTTGACTTTGTGGTACAGTGTTCATGTAGCACTGTGAGATGCTGGTTTTATCTCCCGTGACACACACAAGCTAGCCAGCTTGCAGGCCCTTAGCCCTCAAAATTGAGACCCAGCCCAATAGGAAAATGGCTGCAGGTGTGAGCTAGGTTCTGGGGTAGAGGTGCCTCCGGGGACTGGCCTTGGAGAATGGGGCATTAGTCCTGACAGGGACTCCCCATTTCCTGCTCCTCCCCTGGATTAGGGTCTCACTCTGTAGTTCTGGCTAATGTAAAAAAAAAATATATATATATATTACGTATTTTTCATTGTAAAGATACTATATAGAGGAGTCACAGTTACATGAGTAGGGTAATGAGTACATTTCCGATCAAGCACTGTTACCTCTCCTTTATTTTTCCTAATATAAAGCTCTTTATCTACCTCCCTCAGCCTCCTGAACAGATAGGCAGAGCCAGAAGCACCCTTCTGTGAGTAGGTGGGATCTATGAAGTCTCTAAAATGTTTATCATTATATTCATATGTGACTCAATGACAATGGTGTGAACCTAGGTGGTACAGCCCACTACACACCCAGACTGTGTGGTGTACACTGTTGTACAAAGCACACGACTAAGCCGGGAGTCAGTGGCTCATGCCTGTAATCCTAGCTACTCAGGAGGCTGGATCTGAGGATCACAGTTCAAAGCCAGCACGGACAGGAAATTCCGAGAAACTCTTATCCCCAATAAACCACGAGAAAACCAGAAGTGGCGCTGTAGCTCCAGTGGTAGAGCGCTCGCCTTGAGCTGAAGAGCTGAGGGACAGTGCTCAGGCGCAGAGTTCAAGCCCCACAACCAAAAAAAAAAAAAAAGTACACGACTATATTCTTTGGTTTGGAAAGGCTAAGCTAACCAAGTATGTGGCCTACAGAAATTAAGTCCAAACCTTAGTTTTAGCCTTAGCTATGTTCACAGCAGGATATGTTTTTCTTTCTTTTTTGTCAATCGCAGGGCTTGAACTCTGGGCCTGGGTGCTGTCCCTAAGCTCTTCAGCTCAAGGCTAGTACTCTACCACTTGAGCCACAGTGCCACTTCTAGTTTTCTGAGTGGTTTGTTGGAGGGAGATAAAGAGTCTCACCAACTTTTCCTGCCTGGGCTGGCTTTGAACCGTGATCCTCTGATCTCAGCCTCCTGAATAGCTAGGATTACAGGCATGGGCCACCGGTGCCTAGCAGCAGGAGGATTTCTAACAGTAAGAATGATAGACAAGAGGTTTAATAGATTATAAAGGCAGCAACTTATCTACTTGTCAACAATGTTTACAACAGTGCTTTGCTTCAGCAGCACATACACTAAAATTGGAATGATATGGAGAAGAATTAGTACAAGGATGACCTACAAATTTGTGTATGTGTACATATATATATATGTGTGTGTGTATATATATATATGTATATATATGTGTGTGTGTATATGTGTGTATGTGTGTGTGTGTATACATATTTTGTTGTTGTTGTTTTGGCCAGTCGTGGGGCCTGAACCCTGGGCCTGGGCACTGTCCCTTAGCTCTTCAGCTCAAGGCTAGCACTCTACCACTTGAGCCACAGGGCCACTTCTGGCTTTTTCTGCTTATGTGGTGCTCAAGAATTGGACCCAGGGCCTCATGGGTGCAAGGCAAGCACTCTACAACTCAGCCACCTTCCTAGCCAGCATTCCATATTTTTATAAAATAGACTTCACATTAAAATCAGTAAGACAAAGAAGATCACTACATATTAATAAAGGGAATGATCCACAAAGAAGAAATTACAATGGTCAAAGAAATTACAGTGGTCAAATAGCACCAAATAATGAAGCACTAAATATATTAAGTAACTTCTCTTATACTTACAACAAAAACTGATAGACTCCCCCCAACACAATAGTGGGAAACTTTAACATCCCACTCCCACAAAAGGACAGGTCACCCAAACAAAAGGTCAGCATACAAGCCTCTGAATTAAATGCCATGATAACCCAAATGGACTTAATAGACATCTACAGAGTATTTCACCCAATACCACACAATACATATTCTTCTCAGCAGGCCGAGGAACATTTTGCAGAACGGATCATATCCTAGGACACACAACTGAGCAAATACAAAAGAACTGAGATAACCTTGTATCCTATCTGATCACAATGGAATTAAACTAGAACTCAATGGCAAAGAAAACACTCAAAACACATGGAGACTGAATAATAGATGGGTCACTGAAGAAATAAAGGAAGAAACCAGAAAATTTCTATAATCAAATGAAAATGAAAACAAGTCATATCAGAACCTCTGGGATATAGCAAAAGCAGTGCCGAGAGGAAAGTTCAGGGAAGTTCATAGCTCTAGATTAAAAAATCCAAATTGCTCAAGTAAATAATGCAACTAGGCTGGGAATGTGGCTTAGTGGTAGAGCGCTTGTCTAACATGCATGAAGCCCTGAGTTCAAGTGCCACACAATAAACAGAAAAAAGCCAGAAATGGCACTGTGCCGCAAGTGGTAGAGTGCTAGCCTTGAGCTAGTGCCCAGGCCCTGAGTTCAAGCCCCATGACTGGCAAGGCAAGGGGGGGGGGGCGAAAAGGGGGAGCTCAAATCAAAAAAAATTAGAAATAAAGGAAAAATTGGGCACTGGTGACTCACACCTGTAATCCTAGCTACTCAGGAGGCTGCGATCTGAGAACTGTGGTTCCAAACCAACCCAAGCAGGAAAGTTGATGAGACGAAAAGCCAGAAATGAAGCTGTGGCCCTAAGTGGTAGAGTGCTAGCCTTGAGCAAAAAAAAAAAAAAAAAAACATCAGGGATAGCACGCAAGCCCTGAAATCAAGCCCCTCAACTGACACCTTTCCCCCAAAAAAAGTATCATAAAGATCTAGCGGGGTACCGGTGGCTCATGCCTGTAATCCTAGCTATTCAGGAAGCTGAGATCTGAGGATCATGGTTCAAAGCCAGCCTGGGCAAGAAAATCCCTGAAACTCTTATCTCCAATAAAAATCACCAGAAAAACTGGAAGTGGCGCTGTAGCTCAAGTGGTAGAGTGCTTGTCTTGACCTTAAGAGCTGAGGGACAGCATTCACGCTGAGTTCAAGCCCCATGACCGACAAAAAAAAAAAAAAAAAGAGAGAGAGATCTTCCCTTCCAAGGAGGAAAAGTCCAGGTCCCAATGTATTCATGATGAATTCTATAAGCCCTTTAAAGGCAAACTAACACCAGTGATTCTGTGAATCCAGCATTATACACATCCCGAACTAGGTAGGGACCCAATGAAAAAAGAGAACTACAGACTAGTCTCTTTGATGAACATAGATACAAGACTCCTTAATAAAATACTTGCCAAAATAATTCAACAATAAAAAAAATTATATGTTAGGGCTGGGAAGGTGGCTCAGTGGTAGAGCACTTGCCTTGCATGCCTGAGGCCCTGGGTTCAATTCCTCAGCACCACATAAGCAAAAGAGAAAAAACCTGGAAGTGGCACTGTGACTCAAGTGGTAGAGCGCTAGCCTTGAGCTAAAGAGCTGAGGGACAGCGCCCAGGCCCAGAGTTCAGGCCCCACGACGGGACCAAAAAAAAAAAAAATTATATGCTATGTTTTGTCTTGTCCATTTATTTGTCTGGGGGTGGGGGGGGTGGAGGCACAGAAATGGAAGTACAAATGGTGGACAAATGCAGCCGTGGTACTCAGTAGACACTGCTGAAAATGAACTACAAAACTTTTGGGCAGGGATGGGGGGAAAAAACTAGGAGATGGCTAAGGAAAGGATAACTTTGTCCAAAAAGAAATGGACTCTTTACCTGGCTTGTAAAGCAGTAAGTCCTGTGTATATCACCTTTATAATCACAACAAAAATATACATACATATAAGAAAAAATAAAATTATACACTATAATCAAGCGGGCTTTATAAACATAAATCAATGAACATAATAGACCACACTAACAGAGCCAAAAACAAAAATCACATTATCTCAATAGATGCAGAAAAAGCCTTTGACAAAATCTAACATTTGTACATGTTAAAAGCTCTGAAAAAGCTAGGAATAGAAAGAACATACCTCAACATATTAAAGGCTATATATGACAAACCAACAGCTAACATCATACTAAATGGTGAAAAACTAAAACCATTTCCTCTACAATCAGGAACAAGGCAAAGGATGTCCATTCTTTCTTCACTCCTTTTCAATATGATACTGGAATTCCTAGCCAGAGCTATAAAGTAAGAGAAAGATATAAAAGGGATTTACATAGGGAAAGAAGTCAATCTATCCCTATTTGCAGATGTTATGATCCTGTGTCTAAAAGGACTCTTGAGACTTCACCCTCAAGCTCCTAGAACTAATCAATAACTGGCAAAATACAAAACAACCCACAAAAACCAGGAGCTCAGAGGCTGGGAAGGTGGCTCAGTGGTAGAGTACTTGCCTTGCATCATGAGGCCCTGGGTTCAATTCTTCAGCACCACATAAACAGAAAAACCTGGAAGTGGTGCTGTGGCTTAAGAGGTAGAGTGCTAGCCTTGAGCTGAAGAGCTCAGGGACAGCACCCAAGCCCAGAGTTAAAGACCCACAACTGACCAAAAAAAAAAGACTTGCCCATCCATGTTCATTGTTGCAGTATTAATAACAGCTAAGTTATGTAAAGAGCCCAGGTGTCCTACAATAGATGAGTGGATTAAAAAAATGTGGCATATACACAATTCAATTTTACTCATCCATTAGGAAAAAAATTATGTCATTTGCAGGGAAACAGATTGGACCTACAACAAATCATGTTAAGTGAGGTAAGCCAAGCTCAGAGACAAACAGTGAATGTTTTCTCTCATGTGGAAATTAGAATACAACTGGACACGATTACTTATATAAAGCTCTATGCACTTACACACAAACAAACTGACTATGAAGGAGGATACACTTAGGGGAGGACACTGAACGTCTAAAATACTACTTATCAAAACCAGCTTCAGAAAATGGAAATATGTTTTTGTTAGTGGTGGTGCGTTGTTAGTTGTTTTGTTTTGTTTTTTTTGGGGGGGAGCAAAAAGGGACCACAGGAATGGAGGAAGGGTGAACTAATAATGCAGTTACTGTATTCAATATATACTATCTAAAAAATAACCTATGCAATTTGTGGGCAGGGACTGAAGAGAGAAAACTGGGAAAACGAAGGAAGAGATGACATTGTCCAAGAAATATTGTACTCATTACCTGACTTATGAAATTCTAACTCCTTTGTACAACTGCTTAATAAAAAAAAATTTATAGTAAATGTGGAATATCAGAAAAATACTTGACTTACAAGAAAAAAAAAAAAGAATGAGACAAAACCAGGTAACATAACCTTATAATCACAACTGCAACTCCACACAAATAAAAAGTAACAACAGCTGGGCACTGGTGCTCACACCTGTAATCCTAGCTACTCAGGAGGCTGAGATCTGAGGACCAGGTTCAAAGCCAGCCTGGGCAGAAATGTCCATGCCTCTTATCTCCAATCAACCACCAGAAAACCGGAGTGGCGCTGTGGCTCAAGTGGTAGAGCACTCACCTTGAGCTGAAGAGCTGAGGGACAGTGCCCAGACCCAGAGTTCAAGCCCTAGGAAAACACACACACCACATCCCTGACACACACACACATCCCTGACACACACACACCACATCCCTGACACACACACACCACATCCCTGACACACACACACCACATCCCTGACACACACACACATCCCTGACACACACACACACACACACACACACACACACACACACACACACACACACACACCCTTCTGAAGGCCGGCTGGGGGTGTGCATCTAAATGGTAGAGGGCTTGGCTAAGTCCTAGTAAATCAGCAGCAAGTGAGACACTTTGTCTTAACATTCCTCTCAGCAAAAAAACAAAAACAAAACCCACAAAACCCCCACATGCATGCATACATGTGTGCTCATTAATTCTACCTGTTTGGCCTGGTGGTTATTGACAACGTTGATCCTCATTCCAGCAGGATGGGTATGAAGTGGTACCATGGGCTTCTGCTGTGGAACCTAGAAATACTCAGTGGTCACAATGCATGCACTCTATGAGCTGGGGTTCACTGCGCTTGAAATATAGTGGGCATGCAGTTTGAGTTTTTGGTAAAAGCAACACCACTGCCAAAACCATGTGGTATGAACACATAAAGCCTGAGCTTGGCTAAAGTTTGCTGCTACTCTGTTCCTACTACCAATGCTACTGCAGAGATATGGTTTCCTTTCCCACTGGGTAGCCACTGTGGAGAGCAGATGGGGCGTTGGACTATCAAGTGTGTCTAGGCTTCTAGCCTAGTGCTCATACTCATGTATTTTATTTTATTTATTTATTTTTGGGTCTAGTCGTGGGGCCTGAACTCTGGGCCTGGGTGCTGTCCCTCAGCTCTTCAGCTCAAGGCTAGCACTCTACCACTTGAGCCACAGCGCCACTTCCAGCTTTTTTCTTTTTGCTTATGTGGTGCTGAGGAATTGAACCCAGGGCCTCAGGCATGCAAGGCAAGCGCTCTACCACTGAGCCACCTTCCCAGCCCCATGGCTATGTATTTTATATCTATCTCTGAAACTTTTTTTTTTTAAACAAAACTGGTGTAATAACCCTGAGACTGGAGTGGAGACAGCCCATGTTGAACAGGTTGCATCCTTTTCTTTCTCTTCCCTCACTATTTCACTCTGGAAAGTCATTTCAGTTTTGTGGATGTCCCCCTTTTACATAAAAGAGGCACTACCTTTCCTTTCTCCTATGGTTTACATGAAAAGCCTTCAGAAGCAGCAAGCTGCTGAACAGAGCCTGGGAGAAGTGCGTTTTACCCCACCCTGTGTCCACTCAGATCCCCTGTCGAACTCTACCGTAACAGAGGTCACAGCCTACCTGGATGGTTTTGGTGAGCTTCAGAGCAGGGGTCACCGTCCCAATGGGAGGGCTTGTGAAGGCAGCAGGGGACCTTCTCTTCAAGCTGATAGTCTCCCGGGCATCTGCCACCTGGCGGGGCTTCTGTGGCACTGTACTCTGCTGCTTGCGAGAGTTAAGCATCTCTCTGGCATCCTGCACTTTCCCTTTGATCCGAAACCGAGCATCTTTCTGCAAAAGCTTTTCCCGAGCATCTTTGACTCCCAGCTTGAGGCGGGCATCTGAGAGGCCAATCTTCTGCCGGGCATCAAATCTCTGCTGGAAAGTGGCTGTGCGCGCTGACTGGCTAAGCAGACTACTCTGCTGGATCCCAATGCGGGATCGGACGCCTCCAACTCCTGGTCTGGTGCTGAGCCTGTGAATACCACACATTGCAATGGTAAGTGGGCCTGGATATCAACAGCATCCCAAGGAGGAGAACTATGGAATACCTGGAAGACAGCTGGTTCTGGAAGCCAAAAAGCTACTCCCTCACACTCACTCACTTGGACCCCCCCAGGCTTGCTGCTCTAAAAAGGCATAGCCAACAGCAGACCTACCCAAAACCTGTCAATCCACAAGGGACCTGTGGTAGGAAAGAAGGCCATAGCCTCACGCATTATCTTCCTACTGGCTTTAAAAAAGCTTCCCACTGCGGGCACTGGTGCTCACACCTACAATCCTAACTACTCAGGAAGCTGAGATCTGAGGATCACGGTTCAAAGCCATCCTGGGCAGGAAAGTCTGTGGAACTCTTATCTTCAATGAACCACCTGAAAATTGGAAGTGGCACTGTGGCACAAGTGGCAGAGCACTCGTCCTGAGCTGAAGAGCTGAGGGACAGTGCCCAGGCTCAGAGTTCAAGCCCCACGACCGGCAAAACAAACAAAAAAGAGCAAAAGGACTGGAGGTGCCTGCCTAGCTAGTGCACGGCCCTCTGTTCCAACTCTAGGACAACCAGGTTATAGGTTCAGAACAGGGCTGTCACTCAAGTCTTGGTCACAAAAATGAGAAAAAGCATTTTTGTTAACAACTATCCTCTAGACAGAAATGCTCACTAATGAGTTCCCTCCAAAGCCACTGGCTTGGGGCCAGGCAATCAAATTGCCAAAAGGACCATGGTGAGGTATGGGCCTCTGGATGCTCCAAATTGAGGATTCCCAAGCAATTACCACACTCAAACTCGAAGAGGAAAGTACACAATCTGTGAGCATAGAACAAGCTACCAGGGCCTGCAGTGTCTGGAAAGAACAGCTTATCCAAGGGCATTGGAGAAAGGTAGAATGTCGAAATGCCCACCTTAGCCCATTCCTTGTGACTTCTTTGTGTGTCCAACTCAAGTAAGGAGCTGAGGTGTCCAGTCTTCTCCATTTCCCAAAATCAAAAGCACTCATTCCTCCCCTCTCACGCCGGCAAAACCTCTCTGCTACCCTGATCCCCAGACACTGGCTCTCTCCTGGGAGATTCAAAGCTCACCACACAAAGCCTCCACTAAGGTACCTGTCATGCTGCATCACAATGATCTGTTTATCAGCCTATAGCTCTCACAGAACCTAGAGCTACCCGGGCCTACCCTGCACCTCCTCAGCTATTTCAACCCTGCATCAAGGAGTCAGGGCTCAAAGTGCTATTTGGAGTTAAATGCTTGCTGAGTGTCAGGGATCTTGTAAGGCTCTAGCATAGACTTTCCTTTTAGGGTCACACTCTGAAGTTAGTTGCCACCATTTCCTTTTATTTTTGGCCAGTCCTGGGGCTTGAACTCAGGGCCTGGGCACTGTCTCTGAGCTTCTTTTGCTCAAGGCTAGCACTCTACCACTTGATACTGAGGAATCAAACTCAGGCTTCATGCATGCTAGGCAAGCATTCTACCACTAAGACACATTCCCAGCCCATTGACTTTGCTTTTTTTTTTGGTAGGTGGTGGAGCTTGGGTAGATCTGGGCCTGGGTGCTGTCCCTCAGCTCTTCAGCTCAAGGCCAGCATTCTACCACTTGAGCCATGGACTTTCCTGCCTGGGTTGGTTTTGAACTGTGATCCTCAGTTCTCAGCCTCCTGAGTAGCTAGGATTATAGGCATGAGCCACCGGTGCCTGGCTCAATTTTGCTTTTAAAAGTTTAGTTTTCCAATTTCATCAACCATCCAAGCAATCAACAGTAACTGTCAAGGAAAAAAGAAAGAAGTCCTGGGGCAAGGCAGAACATCGGCTCAGCAAGCGTAGCCCCTGGCTCAAACCCAAACACAGCCAAAGAAAAAGAAGTTAACCATCTAGATGTAATAATGAACTTCTTAAAACAAAGTTCACATTCATGAACAGAGAATGGAGAAAGGGGCAGATTCAAAATTTCTGGCTCACTTCAACTTTGTATGAAGAAACCCTTTAGAAGGAGGGTGGAGGTGCTTCTACACCTTTATAGTTGTTAGTGAAATGAGCTCCCTTCCCATAGCTTAGCACTCTCCTTCCCCTATCCACAGCTTGGCATGCTCCCTTCCTAGGCAACACTAGGCCCATTTAGTAAAGACGGTAAATAATCAGCCTCAGCCACCCTTTACCTTGGGATGACACTTCTCCGGGGCAGCTAACACCATATAAGGCAGCAAGAGCCCCTTAAAGTGACCTTCAGGTCTGGGCAGCTGCAGGGCTCCTTATCTACTACTTGGGCAGCAGCCATCAATCCTAGTCCGCCATCATGAAGCCCTCACGTCCACACGGGGGTCCCCACCTCCTAGCCCCACCTAGCCCCTCAACTTCCAGAAAATAGCTGGTGCTACTTCTCAGTTCTCCCTTGTGAGAAGGGGTCTTGCCAGTCCCTTTCTCGGCAATAAACCTTCCTTTGTTCTCTGTACCCGGATGTCTGCGTGGTTTTCTGACAAAGTCCAAATAATCTAACAATAGTATTTATGTAGTTTATTATATATAGTATATTATATAGCGTTTATGTATTTATATATATATATACACACACACACACACACACACACACACACACACACAGTTCTCTTCTCTGTTCAAAGTGTTAGGATTCTGTTATTTTCAGACTCTGTGGGAGTCTATGGTTGATAGACAATGCCTGCTACAGCTATGTAAGAGGCAAGTAGAGCTATGGAAAGCTTTACAAAGAAGGTAAAGCCCCTGTAATTTTTGCTACTCAGGATTTTTTTTTTGCCAGTCATGGGGCCTGAACTCTGGGTCTGGGTGCTGTTCCTCAGCTCTTCAGCTCAAGACTAGCGCTCTACCACTTGAGCCACAGTGCCACTTCTGGCTTTTTCTGCTTATGTGGTGCTGAGGAATCGAACCCAGGGCCTCATGCATGCAAGGCAAGCACTCTGCCACTGAGCCACCTTCCCAGCCCCTCAGGATTTATTTAAATAAATAAAAAGGTAAAGCCGGGTGTCAGTGGCTCATGCCTGTAATCCCAGCTACTCAGGAGGCTGAGATCTGAGGATCGAAGTTCAAAGCCTGCTGAGGCAGGAAGTCTGTGTGACTCTTATCTCCAATTAACAAGCAAAAAAGTCAGAATTAGGGGTGTGGTTCAAGCAGTAGTCTGCCAGCCTTGAGTTCAAGCCCCAGAATGGGGGGGGAGGAGGGGGAGGAGGAGGAGGAGAGGAGGGGGAGGAGGAGGAGGAGATGATAGAGGACAGGTAGCTTGCTTCTGTAATTCTAGCTACTCAGGAAGCTGAATTTGAGGATAGAAGTTCAAAGCCAGATCCAGGGCAGAAAAATTCTTGACACCTCATCTCCAAGTAACTACCAAAACACAGGACTGGAGGGTGTAAAGAAGCCAAGTGAGTGGAAGTCCCTGAGTTTTAAGCCATGGTACAAACAGGTACATAGGCACACACAAAAACTAAAGATTAGAATTTGAAGAATCAAAATTATCCTATTATGTCTAGTTTAGTTTTGATATACTGTGATGTCATCCCTTCCCCCAAAAAGGCTAAGGAAGAGGGGTACTGTCCCTCAGTGGAGGGATCTTGGGACAACAGCCGTGCCTAGGAAGAGCCCGTCCTCTAGTGACCAGCACGGATGCAGTGTGCTCACTTGGGGGCATGCCACCGTTCCTGTCTGGCAGGAAGGACCGCCACGATGGAGGCTGGCATTTTCATCTATAGTCATGCTTGCTTAGCAACAGAGGTATATTCGGGGAAATAGGTGGAAGTCAGCTCAGCATCAGAAGTGAGATTAAGCCTCCGTGATTGAATTCCTGTACACAACCTGTCAGTCCTTTCCCAGCACAACCAGAGGGGCAACTGCAGGAGGGGGCTGTTGGCAGTTCTCATGGCGGAGCTGCTCCTGGGGAGAGTGAGGAGCTACTTCTCAATTTGATGCATTCACTCCAGGTGACACCAGTTCTTTCCATTCCTTTCATGATCAGCTTTAGGGGCTTTAGTATTGGGGCTTTTTATAACCATAGCTCCTTTTTCCTGCATGAAAAGACAGCTATTCATCCCAGCAGGCAGCGGTACTGGTTGGAAGGCAGGCATTAGTCATCAGGAATTTTTCAAATAAACACTCCTGCTAGGGGTAGGTCTCTAAAACAGAGTCAATTATGTGAGCCTCCTGCAGAACTGCAGAGGCTCCCTCACAAAGCCCGGCCCCTCTGGGGAGCCTCCAGTCCTGCCCCAACTTCTGCCTGCAGCCTCACCTCCCACAGTGGGGACTACTGATGTTCCCAAGCACATTTCTGCACTCTTGTCCCCAGCCAATGTTTAGGAAGGGGGAGGGAGGTTTTCAGAGAGTCCCTTCCTGCACCACCTCAGCCAACAAGGTCAATGGCTCCCGGGTCCTCCCCAGCAGCTGCCCATGGAAAAATGCTGCCGGCCAGGGAGAGGACATCCCCCCCTCCACCGGACGGGAGGAGCGCACTCCCTCATTCCAGACAGAAGCTGATGCACCTATGAGAATGCCGCCTCCAGTTCCGTGTGGACTCCAGCAGCTTCCACAGCTGCCTCCCGACAGGTGCCTCATCCAAAGATTCATGTCTGGGTGTGTGTGTGGGGGGGGGTGCTCAGGAATACAGAAAGTGGATTTTCATCCACGAGGGAAAAAGACAAAAAAAAAAAAACAGTTTAGTTCAAACTATTTCTAAGAGTCAATTATAAACCACTGCTTTAGAGACACCAACAAAACAAGACACTAAAAAGACACTAACGACACTGTCCCTTTGCCAATGCTCTTCATTTTGTGTAGTGCTAGGGACTGAACTGTGTTCCCGCATTTACTACTTTCTAGGGAGGCACTCTGCCACTCAAGCCAAGGCCCTATCCCTTTTTGTTTTTCCATGCCAGTACTAGAGCCTGAACTTAGGCTCTCCCTTTCTTGCTCAGCTCACTGCTAGTGCTCTACTGCCTGAATCACACCTCTCCACTACGGCCTTGTGCTGATTAACTGGAGATAAAACAGTTTCAAGGAGGATTTGTCTGCCTGGGCTAGCTCCAAACCACGATTCTTAGATCCCTCAACAGTAGCCCATGGGTTTGGAACTCATGGGCCTGTGCAGGTTGGACACACCTGGACTATAATATGCTTATTTTAGGTTTCTTACAGTTGCTGGGATGACAGGCGTGCACAAGCATGCTCAGCTTCCCTTTGTGGAGATGGAGTCACTAGAGAAGTGCCGGCGGCTACTTCTCCCAAGGCCAGACAACGGTCCCTCAAACCACCTGCAACCGCTCTGGAATTGGTCAAGGACCCTTGATGATTACTTGGAGGCCCAGGCATAAGGAACACGAAGAAGAGCTGCTCTGAAGCAGCAGCATTCCACAAATGCTGATCCCGAGGAGGGTAGAACAAGGGACCAGATGGATAGCAAAGGGGCTTCACAGCGTCACAGGCTCCCTCTTTTTGCTATCTGCTCAGGAAGAGGCAAAGCAACATTCCTAAATTACTGAGCACCAAGTTCTTCCTGGGATGTCCATGCAACATTAAAACCAAACTTCCCAGAATGGTGATTTCTTCTAGAAAGCATGTAAAATAGAAAAGTGACATTTGTTCATGAAAATTTCTCAAGGAGCCCCAGATCTAATCTTTCTTTTACAGCTGTGCAAGTGAAAAAGAATTTCCAGAAGACAGGCTCATTTGTGTACTGCGGTTTGAACTCAGGGCCTCATGCTTGGTAGGCGGGTACTCTACATTTGAAGCCAAGCCCTCAAAGCATTCTGCTCTAGTTATTTTTGGATAGGATCTCCTGCCTACACCTCCTGCATAACAGGATTATAGGTATGAACCACCAGAACAGGCTTATTGGCAGAGGTGGTCTAACTTTTTGTCAGTCTGGTCTTAAAACTTTGACACTGGGGCTGGGAATGTGGCTTAGTGGGAGAGTGCTTGCCTAGCATGCCTGAAGCCCTGGGTTTGATTCCTCAGTCCCACATACAAAAAAGCCAGCACTGTGGCTCAAGTTGTACAGTGCCTTGAGCAAAAGCAGCTCAGGGGCAGTGCCCAGGCCAAGTTCAAGTCCCAGGACTGACAAAAACAAAAACAACAAGAAAGAACTTTGACACTCAATGTATCTGCTCTTGAGCAGCTGGGATTACAGGCATGAGCTACCATGCCCCAGCCTGAGTTTCCAGAAAATTTAACTTAAACACAGGATGTTCTACAGTTTCTTCCAGCCTGTACTTTAGTTCCAATCCAATAATCACATCACAGCAAATTCTCACACTAAAAACTGGAGATCATGATACTTCTCTACTTAAAAGCCACACAGGAGGGGCAGTTGATTATAATCAAGGTGTACATATAAGTGCATGTTAACATGAACCCCCTGTACAACTGATAGTAAAAGAGAAAAGGCTGGGCACCAGTGGGCTCCTGCCTATAACCCTAGCAACTCAGGAGGCTGAGATCTGAGGATCATGCCTTGAAGCTAACTTGGGAAACTCCTTAAGACTTTTATCTCGAATAAACTACCAAAAAGCTGGAAATGGAGTTGTGGGTCAAGTGGTAGAACTCTAGCCTTGAACAAAAAAGAAAGCTCACGGACAGTGCCTAGGCACTGAGGTCAAGTTCTAGGATTGGCATAAAAAAAGGGGGGGGGGGGGGGGGGGAGGCACCTGGGAATGTGACTTAGCAGTAGAGTGCTTGCCTAGTATGTATGAAGCCCTGGCTTCAATTCCTCAATACCACAGAAACAAAAAGCCAGAAGTGGTGCTGTGGCTTAAGTTGTAGAGTGCTAGATTTGAGCAAAAGCTCAGAGACTGCCCAGGCCCTGAGTTCTAAGCCCCAGGACTGGCAAAAAGAAAAGAGGGAGGAGGAAGGGAACCGGGAGGAGAGAGGAAAAGGGGGGGGGGAGTAGAGAGACCTTTAACTAACAATACTAACTAACAATACTCATCAGATACCACCTTACACATAAGGGGGCAGTCTGGCAACCCACACAGGATGATCTGGAAATGCAGTGTGGAACCCTACCTTGGCCAAGTGCTGCAGAACCCACGGTCTCACCTAGCCAGTCCCCAAGGGGTTCCTGCTTCTACTCCTTTAGGAAAAGGTCCCATAACCCCCACCATTTGGCACAAATAAACTTTGTCTTTTTGGGGGCAGGGTCTAGCCATGCAGTCTTGATCTTGTCATTCTCCTGCCAGATGTTGGGATTACAGGCTCAAACATGGCACTATCTTTAAAACATGTTATGGTGTGGCTGTGTGGTGTCCAGAGAGCCCCACTCGGCAGGATCCTCAGGGCTCACTTAGGAGGCTGGAGGAAGCAGGCCACTGGGGCATCCCTGACCACTGGCCCTTCCTACTGCCACGACATTCTGCCCTCGGCCCAAGGCGACAGAGCCAGCCAACCACGGACTGAAAGCGGAGGCAAAAGGTGCCCCTCTCTGTTTGCTTTTCTCAGGTAACTTGTCACAGCCATGGGGAGGCGAGCGGCACTGCCCGGCTGAAAAGTGGCCAAGCCTCTGAGGGGCTGCCCCTCGGCCCTGCTCTTCCTGAGGGTCCTGGACACCCCGACTCCCTGCAGCCCCGCCCGCTGCCCAGCCCAGGACCGGAAGGGCTCAGCTGGAAGGGGCTGTGCGGCCTGCCTGGCCTCGGCCGGGGGCTCAGGCCGCACCTCAGCACGCAGGGAGCTGCGAGGCTCGCGGCGGCGGCCCAGGGCCCAGACACGAGAACCGGAGACCGCGGCCGGGCGCCGGCGGCTCGCGCCTGTCATCCTGGTTACTGCGGGGGCCGAGATCTGAGGATCGCGGTTCAAAGCCAGCCCGGGCAGGAAAGTCCGCGAGACTCTCATCTCCGAGGAACCACCAGAAAACCAGAAGTGGCGCTGCGGCTCAAGCGGGAGAGCGCCAGCCGTGAGCACGGACGCCCAAAAAAAAAAAAAAGAGGACAGGCGTCCCGCCCCGTGCCGCCACCGCGGACCCCGCGCGCGCGCGCGCGTCTTTCCCTGGAAACCTGCGGCCTCTCTTGCCCTTTCCCGCTCCCTTCTTCTTCCACGCGTCTCGGCGCCCGGGAGGGGAATCCTTTTCGCCCAGGTGTGGAGCAAACCTCACCGTTCAGCGGGGCCGGGCTGGAGGGCTGCGCCTGTAGGATCAGCAGCAGGAGCAGGGCGGGCGCGCGCGCGGCGCCGCGGCGGGGCGCCCTCCTCCGCCCCGAGCGCTAACGGGGCCCGGACCCCGCGTCCTGGGGGTCGAAAAGGTCCCTCACCGGCCCTTCGTCGCCGCTCCGCGCTTCCGGATGAGCTCGTCCAGGGAGATGTCCGCCATCTTGCGCCGCCGAACGCGTCGAGAGCAGCTCCGACGCCCTCAGCCCTCCAGCCCGCCCCCGCGGCCGCTACCCAGCCAAGAGCAGCTTCCGGCGTCCGGCCAACCGACTCTCGCGATAGTTTATAAAGCGACAAGAACCGGAAAGGGTGGGACACTCCCCATGAGCCTTCGCGATGCCAGCTTATTTGCATACAGGGAGGGTCCGGGGTACTACAGAGCCTCTTGTTCCCGAACAAATAAAATGAAAAGCGAACGAAAAAATTAACAGCCAATGAGACAAACGAAATGGGATGAGCGTGTTTGTTCCGTGAGCAACGTGACACTCACCATAACTAAAATGAAAATGACACTCATCACCCGCAAGGAAAGCCCCACGCTGCTTTATGCCTTAAACTTATGAGTAAGGAAAATAACGATTCGGGGTGACGCCCGGATCCTCACTGCTAATGTGAGACGAATTTTTGAGCGGGTAAAGGTTGCCCCTAAGGTGACCCGCCTACTTTGCGGGATGCCTGGGTGCTGCGATCTGCCCGTACCCCCTTATTCCTAAAGACAAGAAAAGGTAGCCCGAGGGGGCTGTATGGATCCCTCTTCCCGTTAGCGGGGCTCGTGAGTGTCCTGTACAACAAGTGACGCCATTAAGAGTTTGTAGGGAAATCTAGAGAGAGCTGGGGTGGCGACTGTGGCTGAGGCCCTGGGGGAGTCCGGGGGCCGCAGTAGGTGCGCGCGGCCCTCGGCCCTCGGCGTGGTCTCGATTTCTCCACCCTGAGCCCCGGCTCTCAGATCTGCGCCGTAGGACACACGGAGGCAAAGGCAGAGGATGGAGAGGACATGAACATCTTCACCTAGGAAACCCGGCGCCCTGCTGGAGTCAAAGCTGGCTCTAAGGGTTCTTCCCGGCCGCGTGTCCCCATCCCCGACGCAGGTGCGGGATGGCGTCAGGGAGGACCCGTGTGAGGTGTCCCTCCCTTAATACGATGGGGAGAGGGTGCATGACTTCCTCCAGCCGCGCCGTCCCGCGGTGTGCGGGCCTGGCTCCCCGGGTAAGAGGGCGGTTCTCCAACAGGGCGATCGCCTCTGGCCAGCGCCCACCCGTCCTCACAGCTGATAGGCTACTGGACCTGCCAGTCCGGGCGCTTCCGGTGGCCCTGGCCAGCCCTGGCGCGGTACTCCCTGCGCCTCGTGTCTCCGTGTTCGGGTCCCGTCCTCGGCTCTTCCATCGCAGTGGCGTCCCGGGTCCGCTCTCCACTGGAGCTGAACTGGTTTGTTGGTCTTGGTTTTGTGCTTTCCTCCGGCCTTCATGGCTGTTTCCTAATAGTGTGTTTGCTGCGGCTGGTCTTCGAGGCGAGGCCATCGCGTGGTGGCTCAGTGGGAGGGCGCTGGCCTGGCATGCCTGAGGCCCTGGGTTCGAATCCTCAGCACCACATAAGAAAAAAGCTGGAAGTGGCGCTGTGGCTCAAGTGGTAGAGCGCTAGCCTTGAGCTGAAGAGCTGAGGGACAGCGCTCAGGACCAGAGCTCAGGCCCCACGACTGACCAAAACAAAATGTGGCCCGATTTTCACAAAGGTGTAGGTATTCTGCCTTGGCATCTGCACAGAAAACGGTGCAAACATGGACTCTTTTTGTTTGTTTGTCAGTCCTGGGGCTTGAATTCTGGACCTGGGCACTGTCCCTCAGCTCTTCAGCTTAAGGCTAGCACTCTACCACTTTGAGCCACAGCACGACTTACGGTTTTCTGAGTGGTTTATTGGAGATGAGTCTCACACAGACTTTCCTGCCCCTGCCCAGGCTGGCTTTGAACAACCACAATCCTCAGATCTCAGCCTCCTGAGTGTTAGGGTTAGTGCTAAAATTCTCATCACATCTAATGAATTTTATCATTGCAGAATATTTGTTGGTTAATTCTTGATAAGGACCAGGTAAGCCCTACTTATTCTATTTGATCTCCTTCTTGCTTTAATTGGAAATAACAAAGGGTTTTTGTGGCAAAGATTTCAGTTCAAAGCCAGCCCGGGCTGAAAAATCCCTAAGACTCCAGCTCCCAACTAACCTGCAAAGAGCCAGGCTGGAAGCATGGCTCAGGACTCTTATCTCTAACCAGCAAACACTGGAAGTGGTACTGTAACTCAAACTGGTAGAGCATTAGCCTTGAGCAGAAGTATTCAGGGACAGTGCCTAGGCCTTGAGTTCCAACCTCTGTGAATACTATCTGGGACACAAGCCATCCCAGCAATGAGCACCTAGACTCAGCCAGTCTGGAGAACAAGGGACCATGGAGAGGAGTAAGAGGAGATGATGTCACATCAGCCACTTTGTGGCTGCCCTTTCAAAACTAGCCAGAGCCAGGTCAATAGACGTGAGAAGCCTTGCCCTCTAATGTCCAACCTGTCTACCTTTAACAGGACAGGAATTTACATTCTTGCCTTTGTTACCTGACGTTCTCTACCTAGTCACCAGATGTCAGAAGTAGCTAGGGACATTTCCACCAACTGCAGGACAGACTGGAATGCAGGAGATAATTTTCTACCCCACACCCTTCCTCTGGCTATTTGTTTGCTCTCCAGTATTTTTTTTTTTTTTTTTTTTTTTACTCAGCCCCTCTCTGCCTCATGTGATCCTCCAGACTTCATCCAAGAGACCTGCCTCCTCCAGACTTCATCTACGGACTCACCCCCACCAAGTAACGCTGCTGCCTGCTGCCTTCCCCCAGAGGGGACATCTCAGCCTTTGCCCCCTGCTGTCCCCCCCCCCTTGCCAGCAGGAAGTAGCCAGAGAGAATCTTCACTCTTTTTCATAATTATCAAAAGGCTGGAATGCAGGGTCTGCAGAGGGACACCTCCCTCCCTCTTGACTACGTTTCCACCCAGCATCTGTTACCTAGGTAACTGGCAGACCTGGAAGCAGTCACCTTCCCCTCCTGCTAGGTCACATCCCGGGCCACCCCTGGGCACACATCTGACCTCATGAAGTCCCAGACCCTGAGGTCACACGACCCAGTGTGGCCACGCCTCTCCCCCACCAGGCCACACCTCTTCCTGTCCTTGGCCTAGACAAGTCCTAGCCCAGGGGTGGGCCTCCCCTTTTCCTCTTCAGCCATCTCCCCCATACCTGCTGGGAGCAGCAGTTCGGTAAACTTCTCCTACCTGAATAGCGTGTGGTGTTCTCCTCATCGGCTACCTAATGAAACCTATTTCATATGCCTTACACTGAGTAAGAAGGATTACAGGTGTGAGCCACCGGTGCCTGGCCCTGGCGATGGCCTCGTTTAAGGTGGTTTGAGAGAATGCGTCCCAGTGGAGATAGCACAGGATTCGTTTTATAAGAATGTTTATTAGTGGGGCTAGAGGGGGAGTTCTCTGCATGCACAGGCGGGTCTGGGCGGAGCGCGGTGGTGGCCAGCTACCCTGGCAGGAGCCCAGGTCTGGGTGGGTTAGGGGCTACAAGCTGCCCCAGAAATGTAGCGGGAGTGGCTAGGGACCTGAGGTGGGAGGCCTAGTCTGAAAGCTGCTGTTGTGTTTAGTTGGGAGGAACTTGGAAGGAGGTACATCTGTCTAGAATGCCTGGAATGACCCGTTCCGGGGCCTTTGTGAACTCATTGGGGCATTGGCTGTCGGGTGGGGGCTGGGTGGAACATTCAGCCCAGCCCGCCTCCCTCATCAGCATCACACAAAGAAAGCAGGAAGTGGCGCTGTGGCTCTAGTGATGAGTATTAGCCTTGAGCAAAAGCAGCCTGTCAGTGGACAGTGCCCAGGCCCTGAGTTCAAGTCCCAGGACTGGCAAAAAAAAAAATTGCCCGAGTTGTGGCAGTCTCAGATAATGGCACCTGATGGCAGAGCCCAGCTGTGTTTGGGCATCTGGACAAAGGCATGTCCCCACTCCTCCCACGGGTCATCTTCTGGGGACATAGGCTCAATGGAGGCATGCATGTTTTTATTGTGATGGGGGGGGCATCATGGGGCTTGAACTTGGGGCCTAGGCTCTCAGCCAGGCGCCAGTGGCTCATACCTGTAATCCTAGGTACTCAGGAGGCTGAGCGCTGAGGACCATGGTTCAAAGCCAGTCTGAGCAGGAAAGTTCGTGAGACTCTTATCTCCAATGAACCACCAGAAAACCAGAAATGGCACTGTGGCTCAAGTGGTAGAACACTAGCCTTGAGCTGAAGAGCTGAGGGACAGTGCCCAGGCCGAGTTCAAGCCCCATGACCGACAAAAAAAAAGCTAGCTAGCACTCTACCACTTGAGCCACAGCTCCACCTTCAGCTTTTTTGGTAATTTGGTGGAGGTAAGACTATCATGGACTTTCCTGTCCTAGCTGACTTTGAACCTCAATCTTCAGATCTCAGCCTCCTCAGTAACTAGGATTACAGGTGTGAGCCACCAGCGCCTGACATGAATTCTTTTTCTTCTTGCCATCATAATGTAGGTAGGACTCCCCCCCTCCCATCCTGTCCCGCTTCAGTGGCTCGATGGTGCTCTCCATTTGAGGCAGTTGTAACTCAACTTTCTGCTGGATAACTGAAGAATCCCGCAGGGACTCCAAGGCCCAGGCTGGTCTTAAACCTTGATCCATGGGGTTACCGCTCGGATTACAGGCATGAAGCACTGCTGCCGACTGGTGTTGGCTTGTGTAGGTGGGCACCTGCTTCCTCACTTGCAGTGAAGGGCGGCTGCAGACAGGCTCCAAGTGAGCGTCCCCCTGGTGGGAGGGTGGAGCGGTATATACGAGTTCACCTGCCCACTTCACAGGCAGCAAACAGACTAGAGGAGAGGGCCAGGGCCCTTCCCCTTCCCAGCCTGATCTAGGGGGCTCTGTCTCTCTCTCTTTTTTTTTTTTGGCCATTTGTGGGGCTTGAACTCTGGGCCTGGGCGCTGTCCCTCAGCTCTTTCTTCAGCTCAAGGTGAGTGCTCTACCACTTGAGCCACAAAGCCACTTCTGGATTTCTGGTGGTTTATTGGAGATGAGTTTCATAGACTTTCCTGCCCAAGCTGGCTTTGAACTTCGATCCTTAGATCTCATCTTCCTGAGTAGCTAGGATTACAGGCGTGAGCCACCAGTGCCCAGCTTAAGTGGCCATCT